GCCCCCTGGGCTCTTTACTGTCGGAGCTCCGCTCCTGTGAGCTCCTGCAGGAAATGACCCCTGGTCCTTCAGATACTCCTGTCCCAAGCCATGGTGAGCATTAAAGGACAAAAACAGCACTTTGAATTAAGCACAGGAGCAGATCAGTAGCCACTGTTATTGCTGTAGCCCAGGGGTGGCCAAACGTGCTCAGCGTAAGAGCCACATAGAATAAACATCAGATGTCTGAGAACCGCAAGACAGGAACAGATACTACAAACACGTTTTTATTTAGAAATATGCAAGTTTGGTTTTTATTAGCATTTAAATGAGACTGCCAAAAATAAAAGCAAAAGGGGTAAAAACAGATATTTATAATGATATTTATTTGTCCAGTTATATTTATTTGTTTGCTAATGGGTCATTTCTTAGAAAAAGAGGTGCAGGAGCTCATTAGCATAACTTATTTGCATAACTTATTTGCATATGCCACACACCCCTGACATTGCTCCTCGTGGCCCGACTGAGGGCTGCTGGGGGCAGGGGGCGGGGCTTGTTGCATGTGCCCGCCCCCTGGGCTCCTTACTGCCGGAGCTCCGCACCTGTGCGCTCCCGCAGGAAATGACCCCTGTTTGCTAATAATATTTATTTGTCAGAGAGAGAGAGAGAAACAAAGAAAGCAAATAAAAGGGTGGAGGGAAGGAAAAACATGCCTCCCCTTCACTTCCCCGGCTGCCCTGCTGGGAGCCACACAATATGTGTGAAAGAGCCACAGTTTGGCTACTCCTGCTGTAGTATAAATACCTTTCTGTTGGTGTTATAAGAGCTGTTCACCAGTGTAAACTCCTCAGGGCAGGGATCTGTCTGTATAAATTGGTGCCGAATGAATCACAATCCACAGAGAATCGCCCTTCCTTGCGGGATTTTCAGAAAACTCCAGTTGAGCCCCTGAAAGAGCAGATGCTCTGCAACCCCAAGAACTCTCCCTTGGGAGTAAGCCCAGACTTACTTCCAAGTAGACCTGCTTGTGATGTTTCTCCCTGCGTCTCCACATGGTGCCTCGTCGGGCTCTCCCGATCTCTTCCGCTTCTCAGCTGTGCTCTTGATTTCCAGGATGGTGGAGGTTCTCCTGAACAGGGGGGCGGACCCCAACCTGGTCCTGCCCGAGGGGATCGCCGCCATCCACTTGGCCGCCGGCACGGAGCAGGAGAGCGGGGTTCGGTGCCTCGGCCTCATCCTGCAGTTTGGCGGGGACCCGAATGTCAGGTACTCTGAAGGGACTGCTTCTTTTTTTGGGGGGAGGCTCTTTTAAATATGCACCAACATCACAATGTTATCCCAATTTATCTTCCACTGATAACAAGAGAAGGTGGTAAAGCCAGAGAAGTTGGCCGTCTTAGTCTGTCGCTTATAGAGATGTAAAATTTCTGGAAATTTTGAAGGTAGGAAAAAAACCCGAATTTTTTTCCAGGGACTCCCGTCCAAGGACTTGCCAGAGTCGGCCTTGCTTAGCTTCCGAGATCAGATAAGATCGACCTTACCTGGGCTATCCAAGTCAGGGAAGGCCCTGCTTCTGAAGTTCCTCGGTGTGCGTTTGCCGAATGAGTTTGCTCTGACCCTCTTTGTCCCGTATCCCTGTTGTTTCAGGTCTGTGGACGGCCTGACCCCCTTGCACGTCGCGGCTTCTTGGGGGTGCTACACCTGCTTAAAGCTCTTGCTGATGGAAGGGGGAGACCCCAGTCTGGAAGACCAGGTGAGTTGGAACGTCATTGGAGATGGCGGATGTGATGGACGGGAAGCTGCCTTTTCCCGGAGAGGGGAAACAGCCACTCAGGGCCAGGGCTCCTTTTTGTAGCCCGAACTCATTTGCATATTAAGTGACACGCCCCCTAATGTAGCCAATCCCCCAAGAGCTTCCAGTAGCCCCTGTAAGAAGAGCTCTGTAAGCTCTCGGAGGATTGGCTACACTAGGAGTGTGTGGCCTAATATGCAAAGGAGTTCCTGCTACAAAAAGAGCCCTGCGACTCAGCCATGTGGACACCTGGGCCTGTGGAAGTGCGGCTCCAGCACCCAGTTTCCTTCCAGAGGGAGGCCAAGGGCTGCCTGAGGGAGAGTGCGGACAGAAAAAGAAGTATTGGCCTCTGCAAGGGAAAGGACAGTTTTGTGTATACCTCAGCCTAGTAGAAGAGAAGAAAAGATTGGATTTATATACTTCCCTTCCCCTCCCCACAACAAACACCCTGCAAGGTAGGTGGGGCTGGGAGAGCTCTGAGAGCACTGCTCTTGAGAGAACAGCTCTGACAGAACGATGGCTTGCCCAAGGTCATCCAGCAGCTGCAAGTGAAGGCGTGGGGAATCAAACCCGGTTCTCCCAGATGAGAGTCCGCGCACTTAACCGCCTCACCAAACTGGCTCTCATTAGTGCGGCAGAGTGGTTTAACTCTACCTCTGAGAGAAGATAGAGCTGTGAGGCCTGCCTCTGGTGAGGATGCCTTGAAGAGAATTCACCACATGATCTACACAAATCTTCTTGGTTGTTTTATTAAGCCAAATGTTAAACACATCAAGAGGTATAGACAAAAGTACACATGTTTATAAAAAAAAACACATAAAAATCTTGTAAGGGCCCAGATAAAGCCTCGTAAAGTAATCAAAGCGACAAAATGCACAAAAACCCCCACCAAATATGACCTGCCGTGTTTCGGCCCACAAGAACCTTCTTCAGAGGTTACTGAATACAACATACAACAAAGCCCCGGTTTCACTGGTAAGGCAGTAAAGAGTTGATACAGGACCAAAAATGGAATCCTCCAATCTGGAATTGAATGGCACCAAAAAAAAAATTGTGGGGCCACAAATGTATCTGGCCTTCTGTCAGAAGCAATTACATATATTGGAGAAAGTAATATTGCCAATGCGGCTGCGGTGGCTCAAGTGGTTAAGACGCTGAACTGCAGACTGGAAGGTCGATAGTTCAGCAGTTCGAGACCCGAGTTGCCGCATGACGGAGTGAGCTCCCGTCTCTAGTGCCAGCTTCTGCCAACCTAGCAGTTCGAAAGCAAGAATTGCAAGTAGATAAATAGGTACCACTTCGGTGGGAAGGTCACATGCCGGCCACATGACCACAGAAATGTCTTTGGACAGTGCTGGTTCTTCGGCTTCGAAACGGAGATGAACACTGCATCCCTAGAGTCGGATTCGACTGGCTTTCAAGCAAGGGAAACCTTTACCTTAATATTGCCAATACGTACCTTCCAGTTTAGGTCCTAAGAGTGCAAGCCTTATCAGGAGGACCAATGTAACATCAATTTTTTGGTGTCATTCAGTTCCAGATTGGAATGTTCCATTTTTGATTCTATATCCATTGTTTTAGGAAAGCACCCTGGGATAGAGGAACAATGGTGGTCATTTATCCAGCTTCTGTCTAGCACTAACTGGAACTTTCCAGTTCTTTGTAAGGCAGGAGCTCCCTCCAAAAAAAATCATAGCAGCTTCGTATCAGAAGAGTTCACAATAGATTCTAGGTAATAGTCCAGTGGAAGCAAAGCTGGATAGTGTTAACTCGTTCTAGGGGCCATAGCAGCAGCAGCAGAAGAGATTGGATTTATACCCCGCCCTTCGCACAGAGTCTCAGAGCGGCTTACATTCTCCTTCCCCTTCCCTTCCCCACAACAGACACCCTGTGAGGTAGGTAGGGCTGAGAGAGCTCCTTCGAGAACTGCGCTTGAGAGAACAGCTCTGAGAGAACTTGTGACTGACCCAAGGCACACCAGCAGCTGCATGTGGAGGAGTGGGGAATCAAACCTGGTTTTCCCGAGTTAGAGTCCGCGCTCCTAACCACCACACCAAACTGTGCTGTTGCGGCGGCGGCTGCCAAATCAATCCTTTAAAAAAAATCTCCACAGCCAATGAAATCTCCAATGGCCAATCAGAAGCCTTGCTGGGCAATAGCCCTACCTGGCCCCGCACACTTCCGAAAAACACTTGACATGCACCAGAAAAGGTGTTGGCGCGCACATTGATGCCCATGGGCACCCTGCTTGGGGGATCCCTGCACTAGGGTCTTCATTGTCTGACTGAAAATAAGCCACAGCGACCATTTTGTGGCTGCCTCCCTCACAGTGTCAGAGTTCCAAAGGTGTCCAGAGGCTGAGAAAGGTTGGGGACCCCTGGGCTGTAGGAAGAAAATTGAGTATGCTCTTAATGGCTTTTCATTGTCAGAATATAAATGAAGATACACATGTCTTAACTATCGGGAAATGAAAACGGTTTCTCGGTCGAGGTGGCCAGATGGCGAACTTGCAAGCCAGATGGCGAATTACTTGCAAGCCAGATGGCGAATTAATCGTTGGTCTTTGGGAGAACTTCCCGTTTCCCGTCCTCTGCTGCTGCTTCTTCTTTTTTAAAATCATTTTCTTTATTTGGATTTTGACAAAATAAAAAGAGGGGGGGGAGGGAAAAAAAGGAAAGAATTTTTTTCCCATCATGATATACTACATTTTGTTGCAGAAAAGTTCCATATTTTCAAAGAATACAAAAATTTCACTGTCATTTACATATTTGCCATAACATTTAAGTATGTTTGTGTATGTATATGTATATATATATATTTCATATAAATTCAATCAAATTCAGCTAAATTCGGCTAGTTTCTCTCTTTTAACCATCTATCAAAATTAAACCAATATTTATCAAAAGTTTCACAACCTTTTTCTTGCACAACAAAAGTTAATTTTTCCATCTCTGCCACATCAGATATCTTAGAAATCACTTCTTCTCTAGTAGGAGTTTCCTCATCTTTCCATCTACTAGCAACAGTAATTCTGGCTGCTGTAAGAATCTGCATCACTAGATGCGTCTGTCTTTCAGGACGGGAACAGAGCCATCGATCTCGCCACGGAGCAAGGGAACGAAATGTGCGTCCGTATCCTCCAGCAGTTCCCAGGAGAGTCAAGACAGGAGCCGAGCCCCTGGATGTGTAAGTTCTGCGCTGAAAGGAAGGTGAAACAAGCCCCCCGCCAAGATCGTTTCCTGGATCTGAGGCCCAAGAAACATAACCCATGTTTTCTTTGTCCTTTCCTTTCTGCTGTCAGCCCACAGGCGAACTGAGAGCTTCCTCTCCACGGACGCCGAACCGTCAGAGGTGGGCAGTTGGCTGTCTGAAGATGAGAGTCGCTCCAGCTGGCTCGACGGGACCCTGAAAGAGAGTTCTGAAGATGCAAAACCCGGCGGCAGCTCCCCGCACTACCGTATTGCCGCTGCTCCGACCGAGCATCCGTGGAACTGTGTCCCAGAAGATGAAATGTGTTGCTTCGGAGACTGTCCGTCCACCTCGTGGCCGACGGAGGATTCTCAGGGGCACGGCGCATTTCACAATCGCTGCAATCCGCATGCTTGGCCAGGGGCCTCATCTAGTACTTTGCTCTCTTGTAGCAACATCCCTGGAAACCAAGCCCCGCGCCTGTCTTCAGTACGGGTTCCTGGTGACGCGTCTCCATGCCCCAGATCGGAAGTGCCTGTTGGCACGCCCCAGGCTCCCGGCTTCAAAAACACTACAGACGAAGGGCGGCGGTCGTCTCCGGATCCGGCGGCTTTTCAAGATGGCACCTCTCCCGACTTGTCGGTCAACTCACCGTCAAGTACTCTGAAATGGAGCCCAGAAGTATTGAGCACTACGGGACCCCGGGGAAAGCGCCAGACCCCTCTCATTCGTGCAATTCGGGATGAATGTGAAGCGAGCGTCCTTGAAACGCAGGACGCTGACACCACCCTCAACCTTTCTCAGTACAAGAGCTTTCTTGGTCCAGATCTCATGAAGGTCACCGGCCAGGAAGGGCTGGACGTCACCTCACCGGATCACGCCTACGTTTTCTCCCAGTTGGACTCCACAGCCATGCTGGACTTGGAAAAGACTGTGGTCGACCTGGCGTTTCTGACCCGGGCGTGTGGGAAACCGGACGGATGCCGAGGGGAGGAGCAGTCTTTCAGCGAGAGCCCAGATGGCCGCAGCAGCCGCAGCCAGTATACCTCCTGCGACAGTGAATGTTATGAGAGCTTTTCAGAAGCACCGTCCTGCTACAAGGCTCAGAAATACGGGGAGAGGGAAGCAGGCCTTGTCAGTTCTCCATGCAGCTGGAACAACGCGCAAAGAAATCATTTGTCATCCCAGATTTCCCAAGACCCACATTCCGGTGCAGCAGAGTGCCATTCAGGAGAGCATGCCAAGACACAATCTGTGCCAGCGGCTGGCAGAGAGGTGGCCTCTCCCGCCAAATCCGAGGGCACAAAACAGTCGTGCGACGGATCTTGTCTTAGAGAAGCATTTTCCAAGATCTGTGCCGGAAAGAGATCCCTGGATCTTCACAACACCGGACAGAGTGAATGTCTGGGGGACGTCAGGGAGCCGGGTCTGTCCCGAGCGTCCCAGGGTGACCTTCTCGTAAAGGATCCTACAGACAACTGGGACTTCTGCACGCTGCCGTTGAGGGAATCGCAGCGCCTGGCTGTTCCCGATGACCCCGGGGAAGAGGGCGCAGCGCCTGTGGAGGCTCCGGCTTCCGTGACCGGAAAACAAGACACTGTTGCTAAAAAGCAAAGGGGATCAAACGGAGCCACCTCCGGTGGAGCATCAGTCGAGCTGAATGCCGACCAAGGGAGAAGGCCCGCGCCGGGTCTCTCTCGGAGCACCCAGGACGTGGCGAAAAGAGACGGGGATTCAGGGGCTGAAGACACAGTACTTATCCGGAGGGAATCTGAAGAGACGCAGCCTTTACCAGGCGGCGAGAGCGCCGTCACACCTGCAGAGGACACGGTGGCTGTCCCGCCTCGCGCTCTGAACGTCGGAGAGGATGAGACCCCAGAACTGGACGTGAGGATGATGATGCTCGCAACCAAGGCCTGCCACTCGCCGTTGCTCCAGCAGGACCAAAGACCCTGCCACGTCACACCCCGCTCCAAAGGCCGCATGACTTCCTCCAGCGGCCACAGCAGCAGCAGCGCCTCCCTCTTCGACGAGACCCTGGAGATGCCGAGGCGCCCCAGGAGAGTGAGGAGTCCCGACGGGATGCCGGCGGCGGCGGCCAGCGAAGGAAGGAGTCGCGGAAGCTCACCTTGCCGCATGGAAGAAGAAACCGGCAGCCTGGAGGATACCGAATTAATCGCAGGGAGCGCCAGGAGCTGCCAGCAAGCCAGCCAGCAGCCGTCTCGTCCTTCGGGCCCCACCGTCGATAGCCTCGGGGCACCAACAAACTCTGGGAGAAGAATCTGCACAAACGATACCAGGTCCAGCAGGGAGGCAGACGTAACCCTCTACATCTGTTGCCATGTGGGCTTAGAGGCTAAGCCTCCCTTAATCGAGAGCCCGTGGCCGCCGAGGGAGGAAATGGAAGAAGGCCCAGCCCAAGAAGGGGTTGACACCGTGGCTTCTTGTAGCGAGCTTGGGAAATCGTGCAAGAAGCACAGCGGCTCCCAAAGGCCGCCCAGTCGGCCGCGGATTAGTTTCAGCCGGCTCTCCTCCAGAGGTCCTTTGGGCGTGCCGGGATGCATCAGCCCCCTGCCCGAAAGATGGAGCCCCGGTCGCGACTCCTGCCACCCGGGCGTCCCGCTCTCGCCCGGAGGCCGGCCTGTGAATCTCAGTGCCAGCGAGCCCGTGGAGTACCTCTACGTGGACGAAGACAGGCGGCACGCCCTCGTCGAGTGGCACGTTCCGAGCACGGACTGCTCGGTGGCCGGCACGACGAGTTCCGAAGACACTATTATCTACGACTGGCGGGCGTTCACTAAGAGCCAAGCGGCAGGGCAGTCGGGCAAGGAGAACAGCCCCCCACGGGCTCTCCCGAAGCTGGACCATCTCTCCGATGAGGCTCTGGTCAGGAAGCTGCGAGACTTCGGTGTCAATCCCGGACCCGTGACGGGGCTCACCCGGAAGGTTTACGTGCAGCTGTTGGAGAAGCTGATGAGCGACCCGAAGAGCAAGGCCCGGAAGGGCTCCGCAGGTAGGTGTGCTTTCTCCTCTGGGCATCAGTGGAGCCCTTTAAATCTTCAGGCGGGGCTCCTTTTTGCATCTGTGGGTGTGTGAGAATCAAAAGAAGCTCACCATCCATGCATTTGGGCTGTGTTCCAAACTGTTGCCCCCGTTGCATGGGGCTTCCATAACTCCTAGCTCCAGGCGAGCAGCCGTGTCTGTCTGAAGCAGCAGAACAAATTTAGGCTCCGGCGGCACCTTTAAGACCAACAAAGGTTTATTCAAGGTGTGAGCTTTTGTGCGCAAAGGCACACTTTTTGAAATATCTGAAACATTTTCAAATACACTGGAATGGTAGGTAAAGTTCAAACTTATAGACAGGGGCAGAACAGCAAGTTTACACGTAACATGATGATGTTTTCATCTAAATAACAAGCTACGGTTTCTTACATATGCTAGCATTCAGTCCTCACATGCATATCCTCAGCAAGAAGGACTATACATCCTCTGTATTTCAGTGTATTTCTTTTTCAGAATAGTATATTAGAATACTGAATGTAATGCGAGGAATATTGGGATTAGCTGTTGTAGATTTTTCCGGGCTGTGTGGCCATGGTCTTGGCATTGTGGGACCTGACGTTTCGCCAGTAGCTGTGACTGGCATCCTCAGAGGTATAACACAGAACGATGGAGTACTCTCTGTGTCAAGGTGAGGAGAAAAATGGTAGGCAGGTAATTTATATCTACTCCGGAAGGTGGGGTAGGGGATGTTGGGATGTTTTGCTGACATACGACTGCATCCATTTTTTTTTAAATGCTGTTAAGTTACCTCCATGCCTAAGAGGAGATGAATGGTGAGTCTCAATTTATTTCCAACAATTAGAAGAGATGCCTTTACACACTTATTTCCTATTCTGACATATTTATTGCTTTGGTGTCCTCTCCCCCCTTAATTAAATCAAAACAACCGCATTATTTAGTTTTGTCTGCATATCTTAAAACATCTTCATCATGTCACATGTTAATTTGCTGTTCGGCTCATCTATAAGTTTGAACTCTCACTCCCATTCCAGTGTACTTGAAGAAGTGTGCCTTGCACACAAAGCTCTTACTTTGAATATACCTTTGTTGGTCTTCAAGGTGCCACCAGACTCTACATTTGTCCTATAGCTTTAAGGAAAATTAGTTATGAACGGTAATAGTGGAAGGGGGAAGGGGGATAGGGACTCTGCAATCTTCTGCTAGCTTTGCCCGAGTCTCGAGGTGAGCTTCAGAAGTTTTAATGTCCAGGGCATGCTTACACTTGAGTTTTGATAGTTTTGGGAGGGTAGCCATGTTGTTCTGCTGTAGGAGAGCCAGGCTTGAACAAGATCTTCAGGGCATGAGGTTTCGAGAACCAAAGCTCCATTCATCCTAGTTGTATCTCACAAAGGAAACTTTGGCTCTTGGAAGCTTATTCCGTGAAAATCTTACTGCTCTTTAAGGTACTACTGGACTAGAACCGAACTTGACTTTTTATACGATTAACGTAACGTACAACCAGGGTCTCTTTTAAATTAAATGAAATGGGGGTTGTGTAAACAGGGCTTTTAAGCCCGCCATTTCCTTGGGCAGTCTTGGAGAGACACCTCCCAGGGTGCGGTCAGACGGCCTGCCTGGAGCGGTTTAAACTGCTCCGGTTCCAAGTGGACTAATTTGATCTGGGGCAAGCGCGGTCACACTCACTTCCCTCACCGCGCAACACACCGCTCCCGGGTATCCACACTAGGCGCGCAGCAGTGTGCGTCGGCGGTTTTTAAAAATTATTATTATTTTACATTTTGCGCATGCGCATAGGCAGCCATCTACAGAATGGAGATCTTCGCGCAGGTACAGAACACCCTGTCCCGAAAAGCATGCCCTGAAGGAACACTGCCCTTTAAACTTTTACAGCGAAAAGGGCCTCCGTGAGG